ACAGATTTAGGACTAGCATCAACTATAGTGATTTTTTATAAATAAACACATTAAAGGTACAGGCGAAGTAATCAATAAAAAAGAAAACGGCAGAAAATGTCTAAGTTTAGAGAAATATGGACGAAACTATGAACAAGTTGGTGTTATTCATCAAAATGCACGGTAGATAATATAGTGAATGTGCTAGAAACTAACGCGGACTGTAAAATTTTGTGCTCAACTGAACACTGGCAAACCCATGATGAACTCAAAATGTTGGCGATAGAAAATTTTATTTTGGGCTCAACTTTCTGCCGAGAACATAAAGAAAACGGCGGCAGTGCTGTCTATGTTCATAAAAGTGTAAAGTTCAAAGGTAGGAATAAGCTAAATAAGTTATCAATAAAAAATGTTATTGAGTGTGCAGCTGTAGAATGCACTATTAATAACACTGCAATTGTTGTACTTTCGATCTATAGACCTCCTCTTGAAAATAGTGAACGAATTGAGCTATTTTTAAGCACACTCGAAAATATCTTGTCATTAATTATTAATGAAGACAAAATGATAATAGTTGCGGGAGACTTTAATATCGAAATGAACAAGTATGTTATCCTTAGTCGAATCGTTTAATTTAGAACAAACTATCTTTGAAAATACCAGAATAACCGCAAAGGGGGAAGTTGCATTGATGATATTTTTGTGAATAGTGAATATTTGGACAGTTTAGTAATAAATACCTTTATTTCTGACCATACTGCCCAGAAACTACTTATAAAGATGCAAAAATTTAATAAAAATACACTTATATACAAAAGAATTTTTTCACAAGAAAACAAAAATATTTTTTCACAAATGTTAATAGATCAAGATTGGACTGAAATTTACGAGATAGAAAGTTCAAATATAAATCATCAATGAATGCCTTTACTGGAATTTTTAATTACTGTTTTCCACTAAAATTACTAAATAAATACAAACAGAAAAACGATTTATAAGGAAAATGATCAGGTTGAGGAATGTAAAAATAGGTTAGATATCTTACTAAATTTATCAAAATATCAAGATCATTTTAAACAAGAATATAAAAATGTTAAAAAAGAATATGATAATTTATTAAAAGCAGTAAGAATAGGAAAGATATGATCTTAAAATGAGAACTTCTGATAACAAAACTAAATGTATGTGGTCAATATGTAAAGAAATCACTGGCAAAAGTTCTAGAAGAACGGAGGTTAAAATAAATGGGAATCCAAATGAGATACCTGATAATTAAATAAAATCAATACCTATTATCAATAATTCCGGATTTGATAAGTAAATTAAACACAAAAACTTTAAATTGTGAAATAAATCCAAATAATGAGTCAATGTACATGAAGCCAGAAAATAACAGAAATATTATGTGAATTTGGTAGGCAGTTGAAAAATAAATATAGCAGTAGAGTGGATGAAATACCTACATGTATCATAAGTTCATAATTCCACATATTGCTGAAATTTTGACTTTTTTAATAAATAATTGTTATAAATATGGCATTTTTCCAGATCAACTAAAGTTAGCATTAATTAAGCCGCTACATAAAAAGGGTGATCCGGAATTGTTGGAGAATTCTAGGCCAATCAGTCTTTTGCCAGGGTTTTCAAAAGTGTTGAGCAATTTCTTTGATAAATGCAATTTATTAAATAAACATCAACATGGATACGTGTCTAACAAATCTACACAAACAGCAATTTTTCAATTTTCTAAAGCAGTTTTAAGACACATAGAAAAAGATGGTTTAGCACTTGGTTTTTGTTTAGACTAAATGTTTCTGAAATCAGGGAAAACACATTAGGCATAGCACAAGAAGTATTATTGGTCCCATTTTATTTGGAGTGTTTGTAAATGATTTGTATTCCATAGCAAATTCTGATACCGAGAACATCACATGCTATGCAGACGACACTAGTTTGGTGGTGGGGGCCACAAATTTGGATGATTTAGTAATTAGAGGTAAAGACTTTCTTGAAAGGGTGGGAGACTGGTTTGAGGGAAATGAGCTTATTTTGAAGAAAGAAAAGACAAGTATAATTTTATTTCGAACAAAATTATCAAGAGTCAGAAAACCTGAGTTTCTAACCATAGATGAGGATCATTTGAATGTTGTGGAACACACAAAATTTTTCGGTCTGCATATAGATGAATTTTTTGACTGGGGTGAACATATAAATAACTTATTGAAAAGACTAAATTCAGTGCTCTATGGAATATGTATTGTTGGAAGATACTTAATTAAGTGAAGGAGTACAAAAGATTATGTATTTTGCTAATTTTCAGTCTGTCATCAAATATGGAATAATCTTCTGGGGTAAGAACAGCCTGATAAAAAAATATTTGTAGTTCAAAAAAAAACAACAATAAGATCTATTAAGAAAATGGCATATAGGCAAAGTTGTAGAGGTGTGTTTAGGGATGAGGGTATATTGAAAGTATATGCAATATATATATTTGGATGTCTAATGGTTTTCTTCAGAAACAGAACATAGTTTCAATTACAAACATTTCATGTATATAATATGTATAAGAACATTGAATGTAAACTATCCAATATATTGTTTAACATTTACTGAAAAGACTCCATATTACATGTCTTAAACTTTTCAATAATTCGCCCAGTGAAATCAAAAATATTTCAAATGTAAAGGTGTTTAAAACAAAATTAAGGAAATTTTTAATAGAATTAGAACCATACTCTTTAGATGATTATTTTGGCTAAGTAATATATATTGTTTTGCCTTTCTGTGACACTATTTATTTTGTGTTTATATATTTTATGTATTGTAACATAATTTTTAAATAAAGAGTTTTTGTATTGTATTGTATTGTACCAAAAATATGGGAAAATGCAGAAGTGATACTTCTATTTAAAAAAGGAGATAACACGAATATAGAGAATTATCGTCCTATTAGCCTGCTTTCTCATTTATATAAGCTACTCACGAAAATCATTACGAACCGTTTAACAACGAAACTCGATTCCTATCAACCAGTCAAACAGGCAGGATTCCGCAAGGGATTTTCAACCACCGATCACCTACAGACCATAATATAACTTATAGAAAAAACTTCCAAACATAATATCCCCCTACACATGGCTTTTGTAGATTATCGTAAAGCTTTTGATACCATCGAAACATGGTCGTTTCTTGAAGCAATGAACGACGCCAGAATCGATTCACGCTATTCCCTCCTTCTAAAGAACATATACCAACAAGCAACGTTTCATATAAAGATCGACGATGACATGAAGACAAACAAAATCCACCTAGGAAAAGGAGTGAGACAAGGTGATACCATATCGCCAAAACTTTTCACTCTAGCGTTGGAAAACATTTTTAAAACAATACATTGGGCAGACAAGGGAATAAACATAGATGGAAGTCATCTCACTAACTTGAGATTTGCGGACGATCTTGTATTGATAAGCTCCGACATACAAGAACTAGGTACAATGCTAAATTAACTAAACACACAGTCAAAGAAGATAGGACTAAATATGAATCTTAGTAAAACGAGAATTCTTAGCAATGAAAATCTTCTAATAAACATAGATAACATCGCTGTAGAGAAAGTGAATCAATATATATACCTAGGGCATGTAATAAAGCTTGGTAAAGAAAATCAGACTGCTGAGCTAAAGAGGAGGATAGGTTTGGCCTGGGCTGCATTCGGAAAGTTGGATTTCATCATTAAAAATAAAAAAAATCCGCTTTCACTCAAAAGAAAAACATATGACACGTGTGTACTCCCTGTTGCTACGTATGGACTGGAAACCATGACCCTTACAAAGAAATCTAAGGAAAAACTGTGCGTATGTCAAAGGGCTATGGAAAGAGCTATGTTGGGAATCACTCTAAGAGACCGAGTACGCAGAATAAAGGTCACCGAGATACTAACTCATACAGCGAAATTAAAATGGCAATGGGCACGCCACGTAGCACGAGAAGCCTTTATCCAGCAGTAGACGAGTACAGGCTGACGAAGAAGAAGAAGAAATGAAAAACTGGTGGAAACAGCATTGGTATTGTGTTGTGTGCTCAAATGTCAATATTTACTTCAAATATCTCTGCTTCAAATTAAGTTTACACAGAATAACACAAACGTGAATTGACTTCCAACGGGAAAAACATACATATAGAGAATAATTTTACAAACTTTAACAAAAATATTTCAATCTATAATCCTCTAATTATTCCACTTATTACACTTTTTGATGCAAGAGGCATAAGAATGTAAATACATTACTTCTAATGTATCACAATAGGTGAAACGTTATGCAATTTTTGTTCTCGGCAGTGCTAGCTACTTTCACCATATTCAAAAATTGCACCCCTCCTAAGGGAAATTTTATACACAAAGGAAATATTCACTTGGAATTTTTTCCACTGATAATTCGGTTCTCGAGGACACTATTTCTTGAGAACTCTCTAAAGATAATTTTTCGTAGAGTTTTGTGTCTTTAGGAAAATATATTATTATTTGCTGGGCCCCAATAGATTTAGCAGCACCATTGACACGGATAAAAATTTATTTTCATTTTGTCATGTTTTGATTTTGTTTACTTTTACATCAATATTAATAGCCATAGCCATACACGCTTGGTGTAAAATCGTTATTGTATCAGGTTGATATACCTACTCAAGATCGATTGGTCTCTATTGTCAACATTGGTTCATTTTAAGTGGAGATTTACTATTGAATGTTGTAATAAGAAAAATAACTCTATCCACAAAATCAAATCAAGTTAGAATATGAATTTATAAGTGTTTTAGTGTTGAATGGCCAAAGCATATCTCCCTGCATTTTCATCACTCTCTAGTCTCTATAACAAACTTTAATTTTAATAAATTATGGGAACTCTTGATCTAAAATAATAAATATATAAAAGCTATCCAATTTTTAGTGCCAATTTCTATTTCTCTTTCAAGTTGTTTTTAATTTATCTTAAAATATATATGTCTTCAATGCAAACATTTACCTGATAAGATTATCATTTGGCACGTGCACTCCCCTATACCGTTGCTGGATATTATTCCGATTACCGTCCACTCTGCCTTGCCGGTGTCGTTTTCCAGCATCTCTAAAAGCATATTGAGCCCTGAAAAAAGCCCTCACGATCGCCCATCTGAACACAGCCACTGGATCCACTCCTACTAATTCACGTACAAAAGCCATTGAACTGTTTTTGAGTACTCCTACTATGTCTTGACGCATCAGGTCGAGGTTTTTCTCTCTCATATCAGTCACCTAAATTAAGAATACACAAAAAATTAAAATCTTCACACACCAAAAATAATAAATTCTAATATAAGGCTTCACCTGATATTTAACTATTCCTGCATAGTGTTCTACTATAAAAGCTGCTTCTTTCTTTTGAGGTTTCTTATAAAAATTATTATCCTTGTGTACACTGTTAAATTTTTGTAATAGTGTTTCGTTTGTTGCCCCAGGAAAGCTAAAAAAATTAAATATTTCAATGTATTTGATGAACTAAACTAAATAAATCTAAATATAAACAAAATAAGATAGACTCACTTGCACTGATCATCCAAAAGACACAGCAAGCCATTAGGTTTGGCCTCAATTAATTGTAAACACCCGGTATTATCCATAAAATCAATATTGGTCCACCTGATGCCTTCTTTTCTATATTCCTCTTGTTCATATTTGAACACATGCTGATTGAAGTAATATTGTAAATGTTCGTTGGCATAATTTATACACAGTTGCTCAAAGCTGTTGTTCAAACCAAAATCTTCAAAACCAAAAATATCGAGAACGCCTATTGAGTTACCTTGATGTTCTCTACAATGAGACAAAATAGAGTGAGAAATAGTTTTTACAAAAATAAATACCTCAGAGTATCTTTTTTTGACAAAAGCGCATGGTTTACTTGTAAAACAATCCAGTCAAAAAGTGCCCCATACAAACATTTTGCTATGGCGTCTCTACTAGCTATTGCTTCTGGTAGTCTAAAAATATATTTATCTTTAAATGTTAAAACTCAAAATGTCATCCACTAACCTATAATTTATCACCAATGTCTCTCCTGAAGCTCTAGCCCTTTTAGCAGTCAAAGCTTGCATCAAAGTCTCTTGTTTAACCCTTAATAATTCAGATATAAGAGCAACTACTTCTGGATTTTTAACAGCCACCGCTTCGTCATGATGATAGGCAGATTTTCTTGGTTGAAATTCCACATTGCCAAGAAGCAGTACCGCTGAAAGTACCGAGAAAAGTCGACGTTGTTTTTCAGGAATGAAACCGACCATTTCCATTGATTGCTTCAACCTGATTTGTACATAAAACAATAGAATTTGTATTTAAAATAAATTTGGAAACTGTACCTTGAGAATTCATAGCTTTCATCAACATTATCCAAAGCAGCCCAAGACTTATTCAAATAATAATATTTATCAGGACTCATTAGATGTAATTGTTGCTTCTCTTGTTCATTGGCCCCTGCTAGTAGGTAATAAAACACATGATAGTTCCGCTCATAACGTCCTTGACAGCAAATTCTTGATTTTTCCAGTAGATATTTTTGAACTACTGCTCCATGTACCATTCCGTTTTCCTTGTAGTTAACTTGGATAAATTTACCAAAACGACTAAAAGTTTTAATTAAAATCACTCAAATAACACCACTGAATGGAAATTATTACCTTGAATTATTATTATGAGCAGTTTTAGCGTTTCCGAAAGCTTCCAAAACCGGCCCAGCACTAAGTATAGTCTGTTCTACACCACTACCATGTGATCCTTTTTGGCTAAGCGCTGTCAAATGGTGCAATAAAAAATTTGTACTTTCTGTCTTTCCCGAACCGCTTTCTCCGCTAATGACTATACACTGATTCTTCCTGTCTTTCAACATACAATGATAAGCTGTATCAGCTACTGCAAATATGTGTGGCGGCAGGTTAGGTCCTAGCCGTCTATTTTGATACAGCTTCACGTATTTTGGATTGTAGATTGGGTAGAATTTAAAAGGATTTAAAGCTATAAGGATTGATCCTACATAGGTGTATATGTGACCAGCTACAAACCGCTCTCTGAGATTCGCCAAGAGAGTTTGTTCATTTAAATCTGGCAGTTGACAGAGATCTGGATATTCTCGATCTTTCGGCTGATATAAAAACCTAGAAATGTGGAATGTCATAATAAAAGGTCCCCTTAAATTGACTTGTTTTTATACCTGTGAAAATAGTCTTTGATTAGTTGAGGATCCATAACAAATCTAACCCGCCAAGAATAATCTACAACTTTTTCACGAAGATAGAACCTATATGATGTATTATCTGGTCGATGTTTAGGCCATAACATCATCAATTGAACTGGACTCTCATGGCTCAAAAGACTTCGTTCCTTACATTCTTGTCCAAAGTCATCTCCAATAACCTAAAAATTTGCATGAATTCTACTGACTGAAATATAAGTCCATTTTCCATACTTCTGCCAATTCGTAGGCGGCATTTTCGTTTAGGGACAGTCTCTCTACAATACAAGAAACTATCTCTTCGGATGTCGTTTGTTTGCTAGCTTCAACTGATAAGGCCTCATAGAGGCTACTTAAGGCCCCTACATAAACCTAAAATTTCATTAATTTAATTATAATAAAAATAATAATAATAATATAATATTAAAGTCAAGATTAAAGTACCTAATATTGCAGTAAAATTTACAATTTATTATAATGGTTTCACAAACTTTAGAGAAACTGATATATTCTTTTTATTTGGTCACCTAGCTAAAATATTAGCTGTATGTTCTCATATACAATCAGGCCGATGGTTCTCATTGAAAAACCCAGCAAAATAAAATGTATAATATAAAAACTTGTGTGCAATAATGGTAATACTATACCTATACCTGTACTATACCTTAACTAGACTACAAACTAAATATTTGCGATTGCATTTCAGTGAAAAAACATTTATTGGAAAAATCTAAATGGGGTTCTTAATATTTGACAGCATTAGAATATCAGAACTAATTTAAATGCATTTTAAATTTATGTTATCGCTAAGATAAAAAAAATTGTCATTTTATTTATTGGTAAATATAATGTTATCTAAAGATTATCTTACTATACACTTTAATTATGAGCTCATTGACATTTTAAAACAATATTATGTACTCACACATACAAAAGATTAGTCATCAACCTTTTGGAGCTCTTACCTGCAAAATGTATCTATTATTCTCCATAGCTGCCATCGAATTCATCCCTCAGATAAATAAGATATTTGCCTGATTTCATTAGCAACTCGGCTATGGGTGTTTTCTTGACACATTTTTAAAGCTTTTTGTATCCAGACTACATTCTGTTTATTTTTTCTAGAATGATGACGTCCCCATCCAGATGTCAAGTCAAGCTGTAAAATAATTTCTTTTTACTAAATTTATTAGATTACAGTGATGCTAAATATAATGTATTTTCTTGGCAAAGAAAATTATAATTTTTGGGATTGGCCAGGGATTGTTCACAAATTTAATGGTTTTTACTTGTAATAGGAATATTTTATTTTTATTTGATTACTCATATCATTTACGTGATTATCCTGATCATGTAATTTTTGTTTGTTTTATTGTGGATAATGTAATATAAATTTATTATTTCGATCGTAATTCAAAAATTAGATTTTTTAAATAAGTTTACAAAATGTATGTCACAAAGGAATGATTTCTGTTTAAGTAAGTAAATCCATCCAGATATGCAAAATATAAACTGGCACAAGTCCAAATTAGTCACTGGCTCTTTCTGCAATTTCAGAAAGAAACTTACAAACACACAAAGACGAAAAGTTTTTCCTATTACTCACGTTATGTTAAAGATGGACCTTATATGTAAATCTTTACAATCTGTCTTTTCATTTGGAATAAGGGCTCAAGTGTTTGAAAAAGCCCCCAAAAAAGCCTCTAAGTTGCAAATGGGATATTATTAGGGTATGACTAATGAGTCCGGCTTGTTCAAGGGATGCTTTATCATCCCTGAAAAGGAAAATTCCTTGCCAACCGTCGAACGTAGGAAAATCATCGCTTGTACGTATGAAAAAATAATGAAAATTTCATATTTTCTTATTTTTTCTTCAGACACCTAGATGGTGTTTCACGATCAAATTTGGAGAGATGCTTGTTCAAGGGATGGTTTATCATCCCTCTAAAGGAAAATTCCTTGCCAATCGTCAAACTTACGAAAATCATCCCTTGTATGAAAAAATATTGAAAATTTCATATTTTCTTATTTTTTCTTCAGACACCTAGATGGTGTCTCACGTTCAAATTTGGAAGGATGCTTTATCTTCCCTCAAAAGGAAAATTCCTTGCCAACCGTCGAACTTTTATAAGGGGAAAAGAAAATATCATACTTCCTATTCAATCAATGGGGAAGATTTGAAATATGTAAAAAAAATCAAAGACTTGGGGGGTTATTTTTGATGAAGGCCTAACTTTCGTTGATCACATAAACACAGCTATGGTACAGGCTTCTAAGATGATGGGTGTAATTTTGATAAACCGTAACAGTTTCTCTGTTGATACTGTTAGAAATGTTTATTGTGCATTAGTGAGGTCGAAACTAGAGTACAGTGCAGTTGTTTGGTCTCCATACCACGCAATTCACAGTTACACAGCATAGGTTTCTTCGTTTCTGTGCATTTAAACTAGGAATAGTGATCGATAATCACAATTATCTTAGGCTAGAAAATCATCTTAACCTGCGGACTCTATCAGATCGAAGGGATTTTGCAGGGCTTACTTTTCTGTATGGTATTGTTAACAGTACAATTGATTGTTCTGAGTTGTTAGGTGAAATAAATATTGAGATAGTTACTAGAAATAGAAGACAAAATGTCAAATCCTTTTATATTCATTTTCACCGTACAAATTATGGTTTTAATACGCCTATGGATAGATACTCTAGAGTTGTTAATGATCATCACATTGAAATATTTGGTATATCTTTGAGAGAATTTAAAAAGCAATTTAATGGTGTCACTTTTTAGGGTTCTGTACTTTTTAAGTTTTGGTTGTGGTTTTGCTTACTATATTTAGTGTGCTGGTATTAAGAGGGGTTGTTTTGGTTAGTTTGAATTTTTTTTATATATAATCTATATTCATAACTTTATATTTTGTTAATTGTAAACTGTTGATGGGGTTTTCCCGTATATAAATAAATAAATAAATAAATAAACTTAGAAAAATCATCGCTTGTATGAAAAAAAAAATTAAAATTTCATATTTTCACGTTCAAATTTGGAGAGATGCTTGTTCGAGGGATGCTTTATCATCCATCTAAAGGAAAATTCTTTGCCAGCCATCGAACTTAGGAAAATCATCACTTGTATGAAAAAATATTGAAAATTTCATATTTTCTTATTTTTTCTTCAGACACCTAGATGGTGTTCACGTTCAAATTTGGAGAGATGCTTGTTCGAGGGATGCCTTATCATCCCTCAAAAAGAAAATTCTTTGCCAACCATCGAACTTAGGAAAATCATCGCTTGTATGAAAAAATATTGAAAATTTCTTATTTTCTTATTTTTTCTTCAGACACCTAGGTGGTGTTTCACGTTCAAATTTGTGGGGATGCTTGTTCAAGGGATGCTTTATCATCCCTCAATAGGAAAATTCCTTGCCAGCCGTCAAGTTGATGATGCACCAGAAGTATGCCTAGACAATATTGAAGAAGACCTCAGTAGACAGAGCTGGAACTCTGTAACGGATAGAGATCGTTATCCCTATCGCTATGGCACTTGCTGTCTTCTTCTCTCTTGTTGAAATCAATAGAGACGAGACGTCAATAGAGATGTTCCCCTAAACTTTTTCACAAAGTGTACTGACTGGGCTAGGAAGAATCTATTTGCAATGGCAGAACTGCAGAATTTTTGAAGACATTATTGTCCCAAAATGCTACAAGTGTCAGAGCTTCAACCACAAAAGTCTTGACTGCAAAAATCTATTAGTATGCGGATACTGCATGAGGAGTCATGAAACAAACCAGTGCCCTAAACCTATAAAGAAGTGTGCAAATTGTACTTTGGCCAACACTAAATACAACAAAAATTATTATGCTGCTCATGAGGTCAATGATTCTTCTTATTACAAATAAGTACATCCTAGATATTTTGAGGAGCAAAATAGACTATGGCAATAAAAAAAGGCAGAAAATATAGAGAATCTTCTTGACAGCTTGGAAAATATGGGACAGAATGCAGACATGGCGTGTGAAAGTATATCAGCTGATTTTCTTGAATCTAAAATAAATATTCATGATGATTCTGAATTTATTGTACCTTCATATCAGAAGTGTGAAAAAAAAAATTGACACACTACTGGTGTCGCTGGAGGCCTTTGATCTGACTTAGGGCCGGTATTATAAAGCTGGTGAACCGAAGGTTGAGTTTCAACCAGCGGTTGAACTGAAATGTTCATATAAAATCATATGGAAATGTCAGTTCGACCACTGCTTGAAACTCAACCTTCAGTTCACCAGCTTTATAATACCGACCCTTACTGTGATATCATTGTACTGAGTGAAACCTTTCAACTCCGCTGCTGTGAAGTTGATCAATTCAGTTTATCCGGTTATTCCATCCCTCGTTCCATCCACTACAATAATGCAGGTGTAAATGAAAATGATGGTTTGTTGATTTTTGTAAAAGATCATTTGAATGTCGAAATTGTGGATATATTGCTTCCTGTGTCTCATGTCACCCTCGCTAGGATTAAGTTTACAGTGGAAAATGTAAGTATTGGTATAACTTGCCTGTATAGACCTCCCTGTAAAAAGATACCACCTTTCATTACAGATTTAGAAAATTATTTTATTGGTAATCTTGCAAATCAAATTGAGGTCTTTACGGGTTATATTAATATCAATATATCAGAACACAGGTATTCTTTCGATCTGAACAATCTGATCTTAATCACATCAGGTTTGTTTTGAGGCGTCAAAAAAACAGTTAGGGCCAATGAAATTGTAATGAAACCAGATGAAAATTGTTTGAAACAAACCTCCAGTGACTTCCATCAGTTTGTTCAGATCGAAAGAATACCTGGATTGTAATAGTGAAATTGTCAATGTCTACCTATCATCCCTCAGCAATCTTGGCTTCCTCTCTTTTACTAATTGTCCTACTAGAGTCACATCAGAAACTGCTTCTTGTATTGACCATATCTTTGTATGTAAAAAACTTAATAATTCTCTAATCAATTACCAATATTTTACTCTCAAACTCAGACCTGGCTGCCATTATCAAATTATGCTCAATATAAGATTATGTAACTCCAGATGTGCCGAACTGAGACAGGAAAGCATGAGCACACAGACATGGAATGTTACAATTGACTACGATGCCCTTATAAACTCTATTGCAGCACAAGATTGGCTGCCTGTATTGTGCTATATAACTGTTGAGGAAGCAACTGATGTTTTCCATGTAATTTTCCAAGATCTCTTTCAAAATTTAAAGTCAATTAAAATCAGTGTTAATAAATGATGAAAAATTAATCCCTGGATCACGCTTGGCATCATAAAACAAAAAGATAAACCAAAGAAAAAAGTTTTACACTCACAAGATGAAGACCTTAAAACTCAATATAAAAACTACAGAAATCAATTAAATAAACTAATTACTTTACGTAAATTTGACTATTACACAGAAATCAAATAAATATGGAAGTCAAAATAATATCAAACAAATTTATAAAATTATTTGCAGTGCCACAAATGAAACAGAAAAAACCAACAATAAAATTAATATATTTGACCATAAAAACCGAGGTTTTGAGACTGACATGGACATGGCCAATTTTTGTAACCATTATTTTGTATCAATAGGAAAAAGTATGGCTGAGAAAGTACTGCCAGCGAGGGAGCCATATTGTAATGTCAATGAACCATGTTCCTCTCTTTTTTTGACTCCTCTAAATAATAAAGAATTGATAAGACATATCAGCTCAATAAAAAATACTGCGGCTCCTGGTGTGGATGGCTCGGTGGATGGTATACCGACAAGAGTCATTATTGAAGTGTGAGGCTGTGTGCACGTTAGGAAATGTAGAAGAAAGAAGAAGAGTTTTGTATTTCGTCCAGTTTATTAAATCAATTTAGGAAAACTGGAAATTTAGAAAGTTGCTCTATATACTACGTCAGATAAAAATACAGGAGTTCACAGTTGGAGTTATAGTTGAAACAACATACATACATTGAAAACGAAGTACATGGACATTACAACACTTCAAAATTCCTTAATATACCATTATCACAAATTATTTGAATATTTTGCATTGCAATTTGCATAATGCAATAAACATGAAATTTAGTCTTATAGTTCCATAAATAAATAATAAATAAATCTGGTTGCCTGTAGCTAAGTGTAGCATACTCACACTCAGACATGATTTTGAAAAGGTAATGAAGCGCTTTTCAAGATTTTTGTATCTCTGGAAAAATAAGGAATACCCTCGGGAATACCTATGCATGGTCTCATAAAGGGCTATGTTGAGAACGTTCGATTTTCAGATGCTTCACACCAGCAGGAAGAATCAACATGTGTTTGTGTATGATGTGGCTTATAGTATCAAATACACAGACTGAGACTTGATTGATCATATTACTTTTAAGTACCAAAGACTAGATTAAGGAAAGTAGGATATTTTTCAAATAAATAACTACACATCTTCAATAAATAACATGTTTAATGTAAACGCGAGTGAAATTGAGAAACTGCTCGAGCGTCGGGACATGGCTTAGAGCATTATGAGGGACATTGTTTATAAGGTTTTCAAGTAAATAAATAAAAAAAATGAATTTTCTCACTTAGTTTCATTTTTATTTTATGTGATTTCTTTTTTCAATTTCTACTAGAACATTGTTTTGCGATTTTTACTATACCTACTATAATCTCCTTATTGTTATTTATGTTATTTTTATTTTTGTTTGTTTTGTTTTATGCTCGGTTTTATGTATTATTTTACTTCTATTTATGAGATAAGAATATACTGGGTACCTAGTAGGGAATATGCGATACAGTGCATTCCAATTTCATTTACGCCTAATGTAAACAATAAGCCTAATTCCACTGTCACTGTTTCATATTGCCAAGCCGAATTCAAATCATGCTACTCACAATATGCATTGTGTACCTACATGGAGCCTAGCAGAAATTGGAACAGAATGTAGTTTAGATTATTTTAGAATAATTAGGTACACATATTTCATGTTGGATTTCATAGAGTGTAGAGCTTGGTGTAGATTGAACAAACTCTTAACAATAAAGATGTTCAGTAGGGTTATCATTTCTGTTTGCTCTAACCTCTAGCACTAGCAGTGCACAAATGTCATCATAAGCTACCTTAAACTATCAGAACATCTATGTAGATCCAATCATTTCTGAGATAATTTCTGATAAATCAAAAATCAAGATCATTGGAATCTCTTTGATCGAGCTCAGAGGCAATCTTTATGAAAGTAGATGGGAGCCCTAGGAGAAACATAAATCTCCAAATCAGATTCCATTGAGGTTGAATTTGAAACGGTAAGAAGCTTGAACTCTCAACCTCAACATATATGCTCAAGAGCTCAACACTCGGCTCAACATGTTGGTATGGTATATTCCAGGGTATATCTGAGACAGAATTTTACTATTTTAACACAGATATTTACAAACAAGTGTCGCTGCTAGACATACCACCTCCAGTACGATCATACCAAAATAAGGTAGGTAAGAGTTATTGGTGTAGTTATTAATAAATGTAAATCAAAATCTTGCAATTATTGTACCTTTAGAAATATTATCGAGAATATTATGTAGGTCCACTGTAATAAAAAAAAGTAGTACAACAAGAATCTCCTGGTCTATTATACAATTTTGGCATTTTTCCACCCTTTATTTTCATGCATCCGTTTGTCTAACGAAAGATGTCCGAAAAACATTCTATTCTGACATAATCGTATAAAAATATGTCAAAATAGAAGATTTTTCGGACATATTTCGTAGGACAAACGGATGCATGAAAATCCACCCTTAACCGTAATTGCCTGAACCCTTACCTGAACCCAACATATTTTGAAATGTTTATTTATTGTCAAAATTTTGTTAAGTTACACCGGGAGCTCAAATTGGGGTTTATAATTAATTACCCTACTACTTTTTTTTGATCGCAATGGTACCTATGATGAATTCAAATTTACCTTAAAAACTCCTGATTCTTTACTCCAAGTGGGCAGCACAAATCACAAATCAGTGAAAGTTTTGATTGAAAAAATCCCTGGAAAAATCCACAAAATCACAGTACAGAGCAGGGTTCGATTCACAACTTCACAAGGGATAAAAATGTCAGATTGAGGTCACATGTTGCTTCTCCATTCCTTCAAACTAAAGAATAGCCAACAAGAGGTCAGTCAGTCAAGTCAGCCTCAATAATTATTCTGTTATATGCATTTCGTTGATAAACTACAAAATTAACTAATTAGCACTAATTAAGGCGAACTGTGATGAATCCGAACAGTCAGCCTTTGGGATATTAGCAACAAACAACAAGAAAAAATAATTCATTCATTCATCCATCCACCGTTCGTTTCCGAACCCGCCCATATGACCACGAACTGTTACTTTAGCGAATTAAAAACGTGTTTTTTGCCGATTTTCTGACATTCTTTTTTTACTGGACGCGTTTTTCCGAATGGAAATTAACACTGGTTTGCGAATTTTTCCCATATAACCGCAAAGAACGCCATTTCTTATTTTTGTAAACTATTTATTTGATATTTGATTATTTTTTTCCAAGACTGACATGACGTAGACGTGAAACGATTTGCACATTTCCATCAATTTCATCAACAACGAATACCAGAAATTTGGCAACATGGACCTGACCTAACCTTTATGAGCTATCTTTCACTGCGTCAAGTCAAAATCTGTAAACCGTACTCCGTAGCATATGCATCCTTCTTCCTTACATGTTCATAGAGAGATATAGCAAAAAAAGTAAACAAGCGTTTTCAATCAAAAGTTGTATACCTTTCAAAAATTTGAAACTCGAGCTACTCGCTCCGGTGTTTAGTAGCCCCCGATTTTCAGGGAACAGATGCGTGGTGCAACAAAAACTTTTCGAAAGGAATAAGCGCGTGAAGCCCAAGAGACTGTTTATCATAATTTTATTTCCACTAAAAACATATTAAATTGTTCAGTGCTAGTGGCAATAAAAAATGATAAACGGATCCTAAAGAAAAAAAAAAAATAAATTTAAAAAGGAGCGCTTCCCGCGCTCTCAAGTTGCTCCTAGGTGTGAAAGGAATACAACTAAAGAGAACGTTTTATCATGCAAGGTTGCGTTTAGAAATAGCACTCTGGGTGTGAAAGTGACCCTAGAGTAACGCTAAACCATTCATAAATTAACAGGTGCTACTCGGTGCGTTACGCTGAAATCGTTCAGAAATCGAGAGTTGACGTGCACAGAGTGCCCCAAATTACCCCACTCGGGACTGGGTTGAAAAACGCCCCGCGGTTTTTACCGGATTTGACGTGATTTTAAGGTTATTTTCATTATGATTGTTTAGTGATGGAGTCCTCTTGTGTTGAAGGAAGAATAACGAACCCCTTGTTGGCGGTTCTGTGATTATTGAACATATATTTTCACTATCTGGAGCACCTTCTTCAGATGAGGGATTTTCCAACAGGACCTCTTTTGATAAGAAAAATCCTTAGGGAGGATTTTCATGCATCCGTTTTTCCGACGAAATATGTCAGTTTAACATTCTATTCTGACATAATCGTATATAAATATGTCAAAATAGAAGACTTTTCGGACATATTTCGACGGAAAAGCGGATGAATGAAAATCCTCCCTTAATGACCGCTGGCGCAAACAGCTGACAACTTAGTTAATGATGTCGGCAATGGTGCTACATATCACCGCGATTACCAAAAACGAGGCCGATAAGCAATCTTTTTTTGTAGTGGGTTATCCTTGGGAACAAAGCTCGTCCTTGATATACGGACGATCAGATGCTAATTTCCATCCTTGGGGTATTTAACACCACGTATGCCTGCGGTTCCGTTCAATCATTCTATTCGTCTGATGGGCAATGAGGCGTACGCTCGCCAGTTCTCGAGGCGGACTGGTCTACTGGTGACGTCACCACTGTCAGCAGTTGATACTGTTGACGTCAGGCTAATGCTCATGAGGTAATCTTTTCGTCGATTTTAAATATAGAAAAGGTGATTTTATCGTTTAGGAATCAGCTGGAGTACTATGTAACGGATTGAGATCGTTATTTCTAATTCTATGGCACTTGCTGTCTTCTTCTGACCTATATTTTTTAAACTCAGATAGTGCATTTTACGCCAAGAGTTGAGGTCTGCGGCTGGCGTCACAAATAGTGGGCAGTTGTCGCGTGGACATGACAGACAGTACAGCTCAATCAGTCCTGTCCTATTAAAGTTCTTAGGTAATGACCAATGAACTATAGCCAAAAACTGGAATGCGCACACATTGCCATATCTGCCAAAAAAATGTAGCCATGAAAGACAGATGCCGTAAGGGGGAATGTTGTTTTTTTCTGTTGCTCGTCGACATACCTATGACGTTTTGGAAAGTTTTGTCATATTTACCTTCACAGGTTTCATCAATTGGAATACGTGTTGGAAGCAATTTCCGCCATTTAACATAATGAGTGCGACAGAAACAGGTATCCCCTCCGCAGCAGCGGCACTAGGCCTCACGTTCGTCAATATGTGTACGCATTCCAGTTTTTGGTTATAGCTGATTGGTAATAGAGAGTTTTCGTTGTATTGGCAAATTCGAACGGTTAACCATAACGGATACGAAAACAAATTTGACAGATCGTAAAAATAGTTTTCGTTCAATCCGCTTAACGTTAACGTTAAGTCGAATTCGACAAACATAACCTTTCTTTAATAGTTTGTGTTTATCATTGTGTTAATATACGTTTTGTAACTTTCCCAAGTAACAACAGCACGTGAAAATGACGTTAAATACTGGTCATCAAGTGACGAGAAATGACGAGCTAAATGACTTAATTATGACGTGAAAATGACTTCCTAATGTCTGGGACGAATGACGTCATAGTTGGTACGTCATTTTTACGTGTTATTTGACGTCAAGTTTATGAGTTATTTAACGTGATATTGGCGTATTAATAACGTTCCATTCGCGTGATATCTATTTTATAAATGACGTCATATTTACCTGATATATTTTCTATAAATCCTTGTTTTTTCAAATTTATATGACCTGTAACGAAAATGAACCAACACTATATCACTTTTGAGAAAAATATATTTAAAAAAAGACAATATAAATATTCTGTAGGCGTATTAAACATATGACTTGTAGTACTTGCTAGGTGAGGTAACAACCAGACACTTTACCTGTTGGTCCATAAGTTGGCCCTTAGGTGAACAAGCAATAATAATAATGTATATTATAATATAAAATTAGGTATATTAAAACAAAAGACATATACTTACGGTTGGTGATTGTTATTAGTCTCAACACAAACACGTGAATAAAACTCACATTCATATAGAGGCGTTTCACTTGGATGCAGCAGGATGATTCTGAAGAGAAATTAAAACCGAAAAATATATCAAGAATTAATAATTCCACGCGATACTTGCGTAAAAAAGAAATGAGGGAAACTTGGAGGGAAATGAGAAAGCAAAAAGCGAGGGAAAACCAAATGAAACACGACCACGCCATGCTACAACCACAACATAACCTCAACAAACTCCCTCACAACAATCAACGTCAACAGTCACACACACAGTAGCGATTTGGAAGGGTTAGTGCGCACTGAGTGTGTTCGTGTCTTTTCTACCGACTTCTATAAGAAAGAGATAAAAAAACATTTTTCTGCACTGGTTCTACCAATAGAATTCGCTGAATAGCATATTCGTTTCCCCACGCGGCGATGCAATATTTATTGTTGTCCCTTACTAATACTAAACTAATGCTAGAATTTCGAAACAAAAAAAATACAGGAGTGAGTGTATTTGTATTTACTCTTTTCCTTTTTCCCGTTGAGTTACTCGGAGCTGCTCAAAGTCAGAAGCTTGAACGTTTTTCGTTCGGTGTTTGTTCGGTGTCACTCGATGTATAAAAGGAATACAGTAATTTCCGCATTCACCAAACCGTTGACCAAACACAAAAACAAACCAAATACGTCCCCTTTCTGGCCTTTCCACAGTTTCTACCGTTTATTTCTATACTATTTGAAAGTCAGAGATGGAACTCTGAGTATGAACTATGGGAGTTTTCCATTTAATTTTTATTCAAAGATGTGTTTTCAAACGCATCAAAGTTTTGCTGTAGTAAAAATTAAAAAACAGGATGTCGAAAAAATGCCAGGGTAGGGGTATTATTCGCATTCGATTCGATCAAAATTTTCGTGAGTAGTTACAAATGCGAAAAAAAATAATGATTTGTATCATCACTTTGTCTCCTATTCACTATAGAATACAGTATACACGGCACAACCCTAGGAATTCTAGGAATACATTCAAAACACATTGAAAAAAAAAAAACTAATTCAAAAAACCAGGTTTACTGAACCACAAGCAAAATACGTGAATATTACATGATATATATTGACGTCAATGTGTATTACATTTATCACCAGAAAAACGCGTCAATATTACGTGATAAAAAGCACGTCATTTGAACGGCATTTATCACACGTCAATATGTCGTCAGTTTTTGGTCAGGTGACGAGTATTGACGAATTATCACCATATAAGGACGTCAATATGACGTACCCTTGCTGGCTGGGTTGTTTTAATTTCTTACTACCCAAAATTCATTAATTTTCCCTGTAGGCTTTACAAAATTGGCTACTACAAAAGCCTATTTAGATGCATCGTCATATAGGAGGGGTTGTTGGCCAATATTTCTTCTAATGAAATAATAAATGCTTAAGAGAAGTTCGTGTCCTATTGGTATCCAATGAAGAGGGGTGATTCGTAGGTTAGGACAAAAAATAGAAGGCCTGTTAAGTCTTTACCAAGTTTCGCCCAAAAGTTTAGGGCTCCATCAGGGCTTGTACTTAAAAAATGATGTGGCCAGAATTATAAAAAATAGTGCGAGATTTTCAGGATGGAACACTCGATTGCACATAATATAATAAATAATATTATCCTCATCCGTGAAACGATTTCTCGATCTTTTGAGGGAATTTAGTATTGAATCTATTTCGAAAACCAAAAACATTTAAAAACAAAAACAAACCACAACAAAAACATAGGAAATACGCATGCTTTCCGTTTTCGCTATGGTTTTGTCTTCCGTCCGTAAGCTCCCGGCACTTATCGGTAACGATAACGATAAATGCTAGCTCAAATGTCAAATTTGTCAAATAGCGGCTATCGGAATCGCTTTTAGACAACGAAAACTCTCTAATGACTGATGATCGCGGCCGCTTGTCACGACTGTCAGTGACAAAAAATCCGTAAAATCCGAGCAGATGGAATTGACGTTTTCAATTAAAAGAGATGGACAATAAAGTATGAAAACAATCATTTTCCCGCCAAAATTTGCTTGCTTGTCAATGCCAGTGTGTATTGGGTGTTTTGAAAGAAAATGTGGGAAAAGTCACTACTTTATTTGCAGAACTTCGCTATGGAGAAAGCGGTGGATTATTTTGGAAGCAAACAGCTCCCGCAAACTAAACTTGAACGTGGATTACTGTGTATACTTGATAGGCCGTGGATTTTCCTTTTTTTTGCGAGTATTCTTTCTGATTTTATGTATCCAAAATTTGAGAAATGTAGGATTTGATGGAAACTTATGGAAAGACACCTCCGCC